CGTTATTAGCGTTAAAACGTTGTATATATATATATATATATATATATATATATATATATATATATATATATATATATATATATATATATATATATATATATATATATATATATATATATATATATATATATATATATATATATATATATATACATGTATACTCTATATATATAATATATATGTATATATATATATATTATATATATATACATATATATTCATATATGTTTTTTTATAGGATTCTTTATTTACGATTTATTTTTTAGTTTTCTGTTATGCGGTCTTGTAGTAATGTTTTTTCTTTAGTTTTTAGCGTATTAAGTTTTACTTTATATATTTTGTTAGTCATTTATTGTTTTATTTTTTAGTTATTAATTATTTTTAAATAGTGATATTTAATTTTTTATTCAGTTATATATTATTTGTTTTTATTTTCATTTTAGCTATTCATTATATATGTTTTATTCTACCATGTAATATTATATATTTTTCTTCTTTATTTGTTGATGTTTTTAGTTTTTATTTTATGTTGTTGTTTTTTTATTGTTTTTTTTTGTTGTCAAAAATATTTAACGTAATTTTTTGTTTTGTTCTTAATGTTTGTTATATCTTTTCTTTTGTTTTGATTTTTTAAGTATTTTTCTGTTTACATTTTATTTAATTAGTTTCTGTATACATTTTTATTTATTTATTATTTGCAATATATTTTGGTTATGATCAGTGCCGGATCAAGGGGGGGGGCTATAGCCCCGGGCCCCGCAAATTTAGGGGCCCCCAAAAATTTAGAGGACCTTTTTTTTTTTTAATCATTATTAGGTTCTGGCCCATAAAAAGGCCTCCAAAAACAAAAATAGCCCCGGGCCCCAAGAAGTATTAATCCGCCACTGGTTATGATATTATAAAAGCTATGAATAATATATTTACTAAATCATTTTAGTTTTTTTTAGCAATAGTTGCTTTTATGTCATCGTTAGTTGTTACGTTTTGTCAGTTTATTACTGTTTGTAACTGTAACTTTGTATGTATAAGCAATTGTTGTATAGAAAGTTATACCGATTTATTTAAATTGCTATATTATTTATATTAGTTACTTTATTATTAATACTACCATTTTTAAAGTAACATGTTATTATTATTACTATTACTTATTATTATTTATTATTATTATTATTATTATTATTGTTATTATTATTATTATTATTATTTATCATTATTTTATTATAAATATTTTTATTAACATTATTACTATAACTATTTTAATCATTGTTATTAGGTGTTTACTTAATGTTAGTAGTTTATACTATTTGTAAGCAACCTTGAAATGTAATACCAAATATTTCAGAAAATATATTGATTGAATAATATATATATATATATATATATATATATATATATATATATATATATATATATATATATATATATATATATATATATATATATATATATATATATATATATATATATATATATATATATATATATATATATATATATATATATATATATATATATATATATATATATATATATATATATATATATATATATATATATATATATATATATATATATATATATATATATATATATAGACAGAAACAACTTTCTTGGGATTTCTATTGACGAAAATATAGTTAAACCTATATTGTCATGACATTGTCTTAAATCGCTTTATTTTTTTTTAATCCAGAGTTATCTTACGTACGCTATTATTACATGGGCAAATACACGCAAATCCAAATTAAGACGAAACAGGCATCAAGATTAGTTTATAATAAAGATTAACTCACCCAAGTTTAACCCTTACTAAAAACCCTGAATGCTCTGAATGTTTACCAAATCAACATCTACTAAAATGTTCTCTTCATGCTTTAATACTAACTTGAACTAGTCCCATCGTATTTTTTTAGATAATTTTTTTCAATTTAATTTTAATTGATATATCACAAGAGTAAAAGACACTTCAAATTGCCTAAAAGAACGACAAAGTTCTCAGAGTTTTTTATTTCCTACCGCGGTCCGAACCTATATAACAAAATAATAGCCAAAAATGTAGAACTTAAAGTATTAAATAACTAAATAACCCTAACTTAAAGTATTAAATAAATAAATAACCCTACCATTTTGAAAAATAAATTAAAACAGCTCATACATAAATATCATTTGACATGTTTTAAACTTGAATACAATACTTATACTAAAATATTTATGAGAATGTTTATCACTGACTTTTTATTGTGGAACCACTTTTGATTATTTATAAAAATGACTTAGATCTATTTAATCATTCAAAATGGTACTCGATGATAAGTCTTCATAGACTTCTACGAGTTTTTTATCTGAAGTAACAAAATTTATTTTTTTATTTCTTTTTTCTTTTTAAAAAAAACACTGGTAGTTTTTATGTTAAGAAACATTATCAATTTAATAACATAACATTTTAGTAATAATATTTTATTATAAATATTGTTGTTAACATAATAATACCACATTATACGTGGTATTATTACGTTATATTTTATATTTTGCATTATATTATGTTATATAATTGTAACGTAACAAAGCGTAAATTTATTGATGTTGTGAAAAAAAAAAGTATAAAAATGAGTCATAAGCAAAAAGAGCTACATTAGAAAAGAAGCAAAATTAGATTATGGATAAAACCTTAAGGTACCTCAGTAGTTATTGGAAATAAAGAACAGTGTTGGCCTTTGAAGATGACTTTTATAAAGCGGTTACAAAGAAAAATTTAATAATCTCAAAATCCTTCTTAGATACACCGTATGAAGCAAGCCTATAATGAAGACCAGCATGCCAAACTTTGTCTAAAACATATATCTAGAATAAGAGCTTTAGTCTCTCCACCTCCATCTAATGCATAACTAAATATTTTAGTCACAGCAGTTACCATGTCAGCCTTAAAGCTCGAGGATCAATAACCGCATTGATTCTCTGACAGTAAATTATTTGACTCTAGATGATATTGACCAAATATCTTACATAACATCTTGATATGTCAATAAATTTTCATATATGTAATATATGAGATTTTATTGATCAAAGGCTTAAAGACCTTGCTAATAACAGAAAGAAGACTGATCGGACAATAATTGGAGGCATCTGAATGAGAGTTCTGAAGAGCAATGTTGTTGCAGGAATTCTGTTTGGACCACAAAATGTGGTAGAGTTTAATTGAGATATTACTTGAGCAACGAAAGCTCTAGTGGTTTGAATGACTAACGGTTGCAAGTCAGAAATCGAATTTTATCCATGGTTATATTAGGTTTTAAGAAAAAAGTTAACATTTTCAGTTTTTTTTAATTAGGTGTATTGCAGGGATATGCTGTTTATTTAAATCTTTTAACTCCCATAAAAAATATTTTTATGAAGCGTTAAGTATTTTTTGAAAAAAATTTACTAAAATATGCAATTATTTTTGTTGAGATTGCAAATAGCCGATGAACATGGTCAACATTTATATTATGAAAAAGTAATTATATAGACTTACAGCATTTATGTACACATGTATGTTTAGATGTATATGTGTACATATGCATGTATGTATATATATATATATATATATACAAATATACAAACATGTGTATGCGTATATATATAAATGTATGTATTTGTGTTTATGTATATAAATATATATATATATTTATATATATATACATGTATATGTATATATATATATATATATATATATATATATATATATATATATATATATATATATATATATATGAGTATATATATATATATATGAGTATATATATATATGTATATATATATATATATATATATATATATATATATATATATATATATATATATATATATATATATATATATATAGTTTATATTTTATATAAACTTCTTTGAAACATTTTGCTTTTTCTCTAATTTTTAACTTTTAATTTTAATTACAACGTATTTATATAAATGTCTAGAAAAAATAAGGGACTTGGTGATAAGGCAAACCTGTCTTCTCGCCCTTGCCATTTTTATATATATTATAAAACACGGAAATTGTAATTATTTGTGCGGCTAAAAAAATGAATGAAAAAAAAAACAAAAATACAAAAACGGTTAGTATTGTCAAGTATCTTATTCGAATTGTTGCTATATAAAAGCCACATTCCAAGTTCGCAAGACAAGTTCAAATCGCTCAAGAGCATTATAACCCACCCTTAAGGACCAAGATTAAGTTAGTTTTACTAAAAACAAATAAAGAAAAAAGTCAAGTATTAAGTTAGAAAGTGCGGACAATCATTTAAAGAAAATACCAATAGTTTAGATTTTTCTATTTTTTGAGTTTTCAATAATTCAAAAGATTATCAACATCTGTAAATAAACCATTTTTTAAGTTTTGTTGGGTATGTAACTTGTTTTTTTAAAATAATACACGAGGATGCTTCAATATATGAAGGTGAAGTTAACCACATTAAAACAAAACCAATTTGAATACACAAATTCTTGATAGGAGTTTTCGGGATTACATTTAATATAATATTTTGGTGATTTTAAAAAGTATTGCCATGCAGCAGAAAAGCGCTTATTTATAAATTTGATTTAAAACTTTACCTTTTCAGTTCCATAATTTTATATCTTTGTAAATTATGGATTTTGCTTCTTTTATTTTAATTTTTTTTTTGTTTAATTTTGAATACCTATTTTTGCGCATTAATTATTTTGAAAATGATAATTAATCTGTATTTCATTTTTATTTGAAATATAAAGCAATATAACTTTTGTAAAATATATAAAAAAGACGATTAAAACCAAAGTTTAATCTAAAAAATATATAAAATAGTTTTCTTATATTGATTTACAGTTTAAAACATTATTTTGTGTACATGCTTTTTCGCAATTCAAATTTTGAAACATGTAATTTTAAAATTTTTTGTTAAATATACCAAGAAGGTTTTATGCACTTAAATCTATATTGAATTAAATCTCATTAATGTCTTTCACGCTTTAGAAATAGTGTTTACTTGTTGACTGTAAAAAAAAATCAAAATCAAAATATTTTTTACAAGGTTGATTGCAAAGTCACGTATACAAATTATAACAAAACAAGCTAAATTTTTTATTCATCTATTTAACATTTACAAAACTCAGCGGGACAATATCCTCTCGAGCAGTTATCGTTACACCATTGATCTTGTACCCTGGGATCAATTGCTTTACATGCTCCACTTGGGGGATTGGTAGCAGGGCCATCAGTGGCAGCACTACTTTTGCTAGGAGTTGATGGTCCTTTAGTTGTTGGAGCGAAAGTTGGTTCAACTGGAGGAGTATATCCACCAAGAAGTTTAGCTACTGAAGACATCAATGGATAACGTCCTTTGCCGCAATGGCGTCCATTAAAATCATCGAGATCTAAGCACCAAAACATGGCACCGGCAAGACCCTTTTCTAAAAAAAATTTTAACTATTTTAATTCAACTTAAAAAAAATTAATTTTTATACTCGATTGTTCGATTAACTCGATTGTTCATTTCTTAATCTTATAATCTAAACCTTAAAACTTTAAAATACCAAAAGTGAAATAAAAAATACTTGAATTAAAAAAATGAGAAAACATACTGAAAATTTGAGATTCTACTTTTTTCTTTAAACTTGCTTCATCATCATATCCTACCCAGGTTTTCTCTTTATATCCGTAAGGAGCGTCAACAACACTGTCTTGTACAACAGTTAAATCCATTTTACATATTTCATAATAAGCAAGAAAACCTTCTTCCCGTGTAAATTCTCCTTTAGGGGCTTTGTTCCAATCTCTATCTTCTATAGGAGCACCGAGTCCATTATCACTTGGATTTTTGAGGAAGAAAGCACGACCATAAGTGCCCAAACCTAGGGCAATTTTTTTGGCCGGAAAACCGCGTTTTATCCAGTGATCAACGGCATAAGGTATAGTAAATTCTTTTCGATTTGGTGCATTAACTAAATATTTCAAAATACATAAAATAAAAAGTTTTTTAGTAAACTGCTATATATAAATAATTTTTTATTCCTAACTATATTATTAAATACTTTTATTATAACTATATATATACATATATATATATATATATATATATATATATATATATATATATATATATATATATATATATATATATATATATATATATATATATATATATATATATATATATATATATATATACATATATATAAATATCGGTATAGAGTGCTCAATACAAAGTAGAGCGAATTATTTTTTTAAAAAATTAAATAATAACACCTGGTAAATAAAGAAACATGACTCCGAGTATATATATATATATATATATATATATATATATATATATATATATATATATATATATATATATATAAATATATATATATATATATATATATATATATATATATATATATATATATATATATATAAATATATATATATATATATATATATATATATATATATATATATATATATATATATATATATATATATATATATATATATTTATATAATTTTTTTTTTTTTAAGTCTAATTTATTTTGCCGTTAAAGAATGTTCACATTGCATATACATATATCAAAATTAATGGCAGGAGCAAGAAGAAGGCACATTTTGCCTTATCGCCGAGCCCCACATATAAAAAAAAAAAAAAAAAAAAAAAACTCGACATAAAAAAAAAACCTCTACATAACCGTAGCAAACAAATGTATATAATATAAATATATAAAATATAGGTCAGAATTAAAACAGAAATAACTGAGAAAATTAAGAAATTCAAAATAGCAAATAACTAAGAATTGTCGAAATGCTAGCAACCGCTAAAATGTTTTAAAATCATTTAAACAAAAAGTTTTAAATAAGAATAAAATTTCTTAATTAACATTATCACAAGATGAATTTTTAACATCATTACTTAAATTTGATTGATATAAATAAATTTATTTTTATTTGATTAAATTTTAAAAGAAACATTTGAAGTCAGATAAATTAAGATCCCTAAATAGTAATAATTGTTTTGATTCATTTTTAAATTGTTCTAATGTAGTCTTGTTTTTGTTGACAATCTCTTGGAATTTTTTCCACAGATAAGGTCCGCGATATTTAATTGAATAGAAGGTTAATTTTAGATTATACTTGAGAAGAACAAAGTTGTTATCAGAAAACTTTGTTGAATATTTATGATTAATTTTATTAAAATAGGTTTGAAAAATTATTGGGGACAATCCCATTTTTGTTTTAAACATAAACAATAAAACTTGGTGTAAATTGAGTTTATACACATTTAAAGCACCGAGTCCACGTAAAAGTGGTTCACAAGGAGTATTTCTGCAGGCTCCAAACACTATTCTGCATGCATGTTTTTGTTTGTTGTAGATTTTCTTTAGTTTTGTATAGCCAGTACTACCCCACACAATATTACAGTAAGACAAATAGCTGCGAATAAAGGCAAAATACAATTTTTTCAGGAATGCTACATTTAGAAAAGGTTTAGCCTTATAAATCATTGCGATATTTTTTGAGAGTGTTGTTTCAATACTATTTATATGAGAATACCACAGCAAATTTTCATCCAGTTTTACTCTTAAAAAGTTTACGTTTGTTTCCCTTTTAATATAAGTATTATTAATTATAAGATTTGGTAATTTTATAGGTATGTTTTCTGATTTATTTACTTTATGGAAGAGTATATATTTTGTTTTATCCACATTTAATGAAAGTTTGTTACTTACGAACCATTCATTAACTTTACATAACTGTTCATTAACTATTTTAAAAAGTGTTTTAATATCTCTGTGAGAATAAAAAAGATTGGAATTATCAGCAAACAAAATTAGGTCTAAAAGATTTGTTGCTAGGTATAAGTCATTTATGTACAATAGAAATAAGAGTGTTTTTAAAATTGAGCCCTAAGGAACCCCGCAAGTTATGGAATATGGAATTGTGTTATTTTGATCATAATATAAAAATTGCCTCCGGTTTGTTAGATACCCTTTGAACCAAAGTAAGTTTTTATTTTTCACTTTTTATTAGAATATTGTGATTTACGGTATCAAAAGCTTTTGACAGATCAATGAAAACTCCTAAAGTAAAACAGTCATTATTAAAGGCGTTAGATATTTGATTAGAAAGGTCAACTATTGCATGTTCTGTGGAATTTTTTTTTTTAAAACTGAATTGCTTGCAATATATATTTTGTATATATTTTGTATATATATATATATATATATATATATATATATATATATATATATATATATATATATATATATATATATATATATATATATATATATATATATATATATATATATATATGCGTTGAGTAAAAAGTTGTTTTTACCTCCGTCACCAGCCATAGCAGTGTGATGTCCAGTTACTTTATCCCAAATACCATGTAAATCATAAGTCATGAGGTTTAGTATGTCTAAGTAGTTGCCAAGTTCTTTTGCTTCGTACCCAGCATCTATGCCTAAATGGGAAGCAGATACTGCAGCTGATAGTTGAAGTCGGGGTTTTTGTCTTGCAACAGCGTCTTTATCAAATGCTTGAATAAGCTCTTTGCAAAGCAAGGTAAACCTTTAAGTTGAAAAATAAAATTGTTAATAATATTAATAAAGTTAATCTAATTTAAATATTAATACTTAAATTATTCTAACTATTTCTAATTAATAATATTTCAAATATTATTATTTTGCCTACATTTGTTTGTCTCCTGGCGGTGAGTTTCCTCTTCCTGCTGGATATTCCCAATCAAGATCAAATCCATCAAAATCCCATTGACGAAGAAGTTCAACGGTTGATTTAATAAATGCTTGTCTGTTTGATTGGCTGTTTACCATTACCGAAAATTTCGAAGTATCTATAAAACAATTTGTTTTATATAAATATGTGAAAACAATATTTTAAGGTAAGGCTTAAGTTTACCTTTCTTTTCTTGATTTCTCAATTTTAAATTCAATTATAAATTTTTATTTATTTTAGTGATTAGCAAAACTAGGGATAAGCAAATTTGAAATGAAAAATGTTTAACTACCTCCATTTTCATGATTCCAACCTCCGACTGCAAGAAATATTTTTAAATTTGGATTTTTTTGCTTAAGAGCCATGACACGTGGATACATTTTGTCGTCGTTCCATTCATACATATCGAGTTTGTTGTCTAAGCAATTTGATAGTTTAGGATGGAAAAGTAAATAATAAATAAAAAGGTGTATATTTATACGTGCATTTATTTTTGTAAAATAAAAATTTGTAACTTATATAAAAAAAACTTACAGTTAGTGATTTTAGCAAATGAATACATAATGTGGGTGCACAGGAATGGATCAATGTTTTCAGGAAAAAACTTCATTGGTTCAGGTCGGTATTGAGCCCAGTTTGTATAATAGCAAACTCTTATATAATTTGAAGCGGTTGCCGACGCCGCCAAAATAGCCACTAATACTGCCACCTAAGTATACCAAAAAAAAAGTTTACGCTATTTGCTTCTTTAATCGTCATGAAAATATAAAATATAAAAAACAACAAAAAAATCAAAGTTGAGTATAATAAAAATCAATAAGTTAAAACAAAAAAAGATTACTGTAATCATTATTGCTGCTCCTTTATGGAAAAAACAAAAATGCAATTAAATTAAAAGTTATTAGTTACATATATATAACAATTCTTAGGTAAGGAGGTTTATTGATTTGTTAAAAATGCTATGGGGGTTAATTTTTAGATAAAGGTTATTCCTAATCCTTATAACTACATTTTTGCTATCCCCCGTAATGATGCTCTTCAGACTTAAAATTATCTTTTTACTAACCCCCTAATTAAAACTGAACAAATTTATTATTTTTAGTTTTGGTATTTATTTTAATAAAGTTCAAATAAATTTTAAGGTGAACAAATTCAGCTGTTATAGTTTATATAGATTTTTTTATTTATTTCGCAATAGTTTTATAAATTTAAATAGACAATTAAATTGCATGTTTTTCAGGGATTTGGGACAAATTAGGGATAATTACTTAAAAGAGACCATAAGTTAAAACAAAAAAAAGTTCAAATCGAAAGTAAAAAAAATTAATTTTTTTCTTTTTAAAAAAAGACAATTTAATAGTTTTTGTTATGTTACAAATATTTATTTATTTAAACCTCCTATTTATTCAGAGCATTTTAGATTAGTAAATAATAAGTAATACCAACGCCATATAAAACATAAACACATATACAGTATAATGTATATACTTATATATATATATATATATATATATATATATATATATATATATATATATATATATATATATATATATATATATATATATATATATATATATATACATATATATATATATATATATATATATATATATATATATATATATATATATATATATATATATATATTTCCAATGTGGGCCGTTTTACACACTCCCAAGCATTATTTATTGATTCAAATATAATGTATTTTTATCAATTAAATGTCTATCAAATTCTTATATTTATGTTCAAAATTAATAAAAATATATCTCCTAAAATATTTTACCAATTATTCAAAATAAATCATTATAAATATCTAACCAGATTTTTAAATAACAGTTGTACTCAACCTAAAAGTTATTTTGCTGCGACGGAATTTTCAATTTCTACTAAAGGTCCAAAAGTATGGAATAAAATATTAACTAGTGAACTTAAAAAAATTGCTACGCTTAATGAGTTTAAGAACAAAGTGAAGCAATACTACTGATGAACGGCTTATCATTATCGGCTTGACGATCTTAGAAAATGATTGTGCCACTTTTTATTGCTTCAATTCTTCTTTTTTTAAATATATGCAAAAAATATAAAATATGGTTTATTAGAATTATTTACTTATTTTAAGGTATATGCCGTTGTATAGGAGAAGCTTCAGGATGTTGCGTATTTACTTGCATGCTTTTTAGTAATATAGTTTCTTTGTACTAATTCTTTTTTTTTTTAAAAAAATTTTTCTAAATACTAAAACAAAAAGTTAAAGTTAAAGTCTTTAGGACCGATGATTTTTATTTTATTTAGTCTTTAAAAAATTATTATATAGTTTTACGTTTATTTAACTTTTGTTGTTTTATATTTACGGTATTGACTAAGGAACTTGATGATAAGACCAATTATGTCTTCTTTTTGCCCCAGCTGTTTGTACTTAAATTATGATTTACGATATAATAAATTTTTACGGCAAAAATAAAATTAAAATATATATATATATATATATATATATATATATATATATATATACATATATATATATATATATATATATATATATATATATATATATATATATATATATATATATATATATATATATATATATATATATATATATATATATATATATATATATATATATATATATACATACATACATACATAAATACATACATGTACACACACATACATACATACATACATACATACATACATACATACATACATACATACATACATACATTTATACATACATACATACTCACATACATACAATTCCTGGTTGCTCGAACTGGCACTTATTTGAATTTCCCGCCTATTGGAAAAAACTTTCATTTCCTTTTCCTTAACAAACTCATGTAAAAATATGCATTAGTTATTCGAACCAGCAGTTGTTCAAAATTTTGTTTACTTGAAGTAATTTTTTGCTCCCCTTGTTAAATACCCCGCCAGTTATTCGAAGTTTTCCTTCGGCTTAACACATTATTGCATTGTATTTTAAAATGTAACTTTATTAAATATAATCAAAATATATGTATGTATATATGTAAAAAAAATAATGCTACATAAATATATAAAAATTGATTACATTAAACGTATTGCAATGAGAATTTTAACATGGCGTCTACGCGAAAAAAGGCTTTACCGTGCCTGTATCTTAAGGGTCGTCGGGTGCGATTGACCACCCTTTTTAAACAAACCCTCTTTGGTTCACGCAAATGTTATAGCAAAAATGTCAAACTATCTTTTAGAGATAGGAACGGGTCAAACTAAAAAGAATGTAGCCAAAAAGTTTTGTGTTCCTCAAAACACTTTAACTTACTGGATTTAGCATTAGAAAGAAACAGTCAATTTGGAGAAAAATGATAAAAATTAAGTTTCGGAAAGCATGATTCCGTTGATAAACTTTTTTGATAAATTGTAGAGATTTTATTTTTTTATTGTAAATTTGTTTTTTAGAAGGTAAAGACTTAAACAGCATTTTATTTCAAAGTTTTTCTTCAATTTTACTCTCTTATACTGTTAAAATTTATTATAACTTGAAACTTTAAAGAAGATTTTGAGTTATTTGAACTTTCGGTTACTTGAAGTAAATTCTAATTTTCCTAGAAGGTTAGAATAACCGGGAGTTTACTGTACATACATATACACACATACATATACACATAGATATACATACGCAAACACACACACATACACACACACACATATATATACTTTTGAAAATAAGACAACTTTTTTAACCTTTTTAAAAAACATTTTATTATTATGACATGTTTCAACTATATATAGTCATCTTCAGTTAAAATAAATTTGTTTAAACCGGTATAAAATATAGTATACAATTGTAAAAATAAATGTAATAAAAGCCATAAAATTAATATTATACCTATTCCTATATATACAAAAAAAATTGTTAAAAATTATTTTAACAAATGTCAAATATAACAAAATAACTGGTAAAATATATTAAATAGTAAGAGCCATTTTTACATGATTTACTTGTTCATTCATATCAGATTTTTCTTATCCTATGTAAATACTTTATTTAAAGTTTAATTCAATTTTATTATTGGCACGATCCAAAATCGAAAAGCATTCGAGTTTGAGTTTATTTATTTCAGAAATCAATTATGTAATACATTTATATATTTTGATGAGGAAGTGCTAAACCAGGCACTTCCATGCTGAAAAAAGACACTCGTGTGTCCGATCATTCGTCTATTACGAATTTCAATTTATGAACATTAACATTGAACGAGTTGACTGATTCAGCTCTTATGGCGTTTAAAGGTAGCGTATTCCAAACATTCACGATGTGATTAGTGAAAAAATTAAATCTTTCTTGACAGTTTTTTACCTTTTGACGTTCGAGTGGACGATAATGTCCACGTAAATTATATTTGTAAATCGATGGTGCGTAAACTTAAGGGTTAGCAAAAATAATTTGATCAATAACTTTTGAAATTTTAAACTGTTGAATCAGATCACCTTGAACTCTCCTTTCTTTAAGAGTAGTTAAGCTGAGATGAAAGAGTCTTTCTTCATATGGCAAATGCTTTATTTCCGATATTGTTTTTGTGGCTTTATGCTGTACTTGTTCTAGAATAGCAATGTCTTTTTTATTGTGTGGTGACCAAGCCTGGATAGCAAATTCTAACTGGGGTCTTATATATGTTTTATAGAGTACTTTCCACAAAAAGAGTCCACGACTTCTAAAATTTTTTTTAAGTTTACCAAGTTTACTGTTGGCTCTTGCTGCTGCTGATTCAACTTGATAGCTTACTTTAAGATCGTAGATAGAAGTACTCCCAGATCATGTTTGTGTTTAGTGACGTCCAGTTGAATTCTGTTTCCACTCAAATCAAGCATCGAATAAGTTTGAGTGCATAAATACACTTATCGAAGTTGAGAGGCATATTTCATTTATGCGACCAATCTACAAGATTATCCATGTCAGTTTGTAATGTTCTTTTATCCTCCTCAGATTTTAGAACTGCGATTCTTTTGCAATCGTCAACATAAATCTTTATGTGATGAGTAATTTAGTCCGGCAGATCGTTTATATATAAAATAAAAAGAAGTGGACCGAGCACGGAGCCCTGGGGTACCCCGCTTGTTACATATTTCCATTTAGATTTATGCTTGCCAATTACAACCCGCTGAAAACGATTCGTTAACCAGTTTGCTATCCAGTCTAAAACTATGCGATTTATACGATAGGCTTTAAGTTTATTAGCTCGGTAATTAGCTCGGTTCTGCTTGCTACCTTGTTTAAAAATTGGGGTGATATTTGATCTTTTCAAAAGCTCTAGGACATGTGAACCGCAAATTGATTTTTGGTAGATCATAGCTAATGGAATTGCAAATGCTGACGCGCAGTTGCGCAATATTCGTGGGTGTATGTAGTCATATCCTTTTGACTTAGTTTCAATGAACTTTTTTAGTCTTTCTTGAACTGAAGTCGTCGATATGAAATTTAAGTCTATAGTGCAAGATAAATTTGTACGTGATCCGAAATCTGGCAGCGAATCTGGTTTTTCAGTAGTGAATACAGAATGAAAGTAATTGTTTAGAATATCTGAAATAACTGCACCGTCGGTTATAATATTTTTATTGTCATCTTTGAGAGCTTGAAATGAGTTATTAGTTTGTTCATTTTTGATGTGATCATAAAGTTTCTTTGAGTCATTTTTGAAAACACTAGCTAACTGATGTTTACATTTTTTAATAGCTTTTTTTATTACCTCTGATACATGTTTACAAGCTATTTTATGCTTACTCCTGAGTGCTTCATGTGTTTTAGTTCCAGAAGCGACATATTGCCTCCAGAGATTACGTTTATGAAAAACCGCTTCTTTAACTTCCGGTGTGGTCCAAGGTTCTTTTTTTTTTTTTGAAGGGAACAGAAGTCACTGGAATGTATTTGAACATGTATTTTTTTACAAGTAGTTGGTAGTTAAAGTTTGCTAAATGATTAGTAAAGTTTTTGTCCCAATCA